GTTTTGTAAAAATCGACGCGTTTCAAAAAGGCAGGGCATAGAGGAGAAACAATAATGTACAGTATGTGGAAAATAATGTGTTTTTTTAACTTTAAACCGCATAAACACATTTCATTACACCAAATACACAAAATAATGTTCTTTTTAGCAGCATCATATGACCCCTTTAAGGTAAATAGGTAGGTGGGTAAATAAATAAATATACACCGCCGTTCAAAAGTTTGGGATCAGTACGATTTTTTATGTTTTTTAAAGAAGTTTCTTATGCTCATCAAAGCTGTATATATTTGATCAAAAATACAGAAAAAAAATACTTTTGTGAAATATTATTGCAATTTAAAATAACAGTTTTCTATTTTAATATACTTTAAAATATAATTCTAAGCCATCCTAAAAAAAAATATTTTTATTTCTAAAAAAATTTATTTTGATGTAAAATATATTTTCTGATTGTGCTTTTAATATAGAAGTAAGGCTACCAGTAAAATGTCTTGTAAACTTAATTTAGACTAAATGTAGTTTGTAATTTAGTTTAGGTGATAGGCCTAAATGATTTTAATTAACATTTAAATATAATTAATATTAGGATTCTTTCTCTGTGCATCACATATAAATACATTACATCCTAAGTATGAACGTTAGTGAATGCATACTCCTCTTTAGTCAAAGAGGGCGGGTCACAATCTAGCAGCGACCGTCTCCTGGGCGGGGTGTGTGTGTCGCGAGGCTCGAGACCATAGCTCGAGACGAGCAAGTAAGGTATAAGTGTTAGCACAGCTAGCGCGAGGCTCCGTTCACTTCACTGAGAGTTAGCCGTGAGCTCATTTTAGTGAGTGATCATGGCGGCGGTGCGCAGCCTGCAGGTGTCTGTGAAGTCCGAAAGCGCGTCTGATCGGTCAGAGTCAGACTCGGAATCAGACTCGGATCGAGATGCCCGGGAAGCGGAACCCATGGAGGTGGAGGAGGGAGAGCTGGAGCTGGAGTCCATCCCTGTTCGCCGAAGTTTAAAGGAGCTGTTGCCGGTGAGTTAGTCCGTAGGCCTCTTGCGAACCACGGCCTCGCGTAGTACAGTAAGCCGGTCGTTGGTGAAGCCGATGCGGTGTTGAGTTCAGAGCTAGGGTTCATCGCAGCACTATTCCTGCTTTTGAACAGGTTATGGTAATGGATTCATGGTGGGTTAGAATATATTTGCATAATGTGTAGTGATGGTCTGTTGTTTCGGAGGCTCTTGGAAAAGTGATGTAAATTTCTGGCCCAAGTTTCCAGATACTGACAGACTTTTCATTTGGCGCAGTTATTCCTATACTAATTGGTTAAAGGGGTCATATGATGCTATTTTAAAGATCATTATTTTGTGTATTTGGTGTAACATAATATGTTGACCTGCTTTAATGTTCAAAAAACATTATTTTTCAAATACTGTACGTTATTGTAGGTTCTCTATGCCCCGCCTCTCTCAAATGCGTCGTTTTCTACAAAGCTCCTCCTTCCGACAAGCGCAGTCTGCTCTGATTGGCCAGCTGACCCAGTGCATTGTGATTGGCCGAACACCACAAGCACGCGTCGGAAATGTAACGCCCCTTACCATAATCGCCAGCTTCAGCTTTCAAAGTAAATATCAAGACAGTTAATAATGTCCTTAGTTTTACCATCAGTTCAAGCCCGAAAGGGCAACAGAGTCGCTTGACAGACACAGTGATGATGCAGTACACAAGCGCTGTTAAAGGGTTAGTTCACCAAAAAATTCAAATTAGGCTGCGTTTTACTCACCCCTGAGGCATCCTAGGTGTATATGACTTTCTTCTTTCAGGCGAATCCAGTCGGAGTTATATTAAAAATTGTCTTTGATCTTTCAAGCTGTTTAATGCCACTCAGCGGGTGTTGCCTTGCTTCAGTCCAAAAGAACTTAAATAAAAATCGCCAATCCATAAAAATAAAAAAAGTGTCTCACACGGCTCTGGGGGGTGAACAAAGGCCTTCTGTAGCGAATCGATGCGTTTTTGTAAGAAAAATATCCATATTCAAAACGTAATAATCACTTGAATGTAGCTTGCGCCAGCAGTTGTACACAGAAGCAGTTCCGGGAGCATGACGTATGAGGTCAGCGTTGCGCATGCGCCGGTGCGTCTCGTGAAAACCAACGTTTGTTTACAGGATCAAAAGAAGCAAAGTTTCCTTACTTTAGCAAAGGAAAACAAGTCTCCTCTTAGCTTATATCGAAATCCTCTGACATTCTTCTTTACAAATCCTCGTTTTGTACTTCTAATACTTGACCGTTGTTTTGTTTTGATCTTTCCCCTGCGTTTCCGCGTGCGTCACTTCTGAGCCGCGCATGCGCAAAGCTGACCTCATACATAATTCCCCCGGAACTGATTCCAGTGTACAACAGTGAGCGCAAGCTACATTAAAGTGAT